GGATGTTGGCTGGAAGAAACCAAGGGCTCTTACTTTAAGAATGAGAAGTCATTTGGGCACAGTCAACAGTTCAGTGTAAACAAATACAAAATAATAAGTTGTAAAGGACAGAAAGTGTTATATGTTCCTCTTTAACCAAGTGGAGCCACCCTTCAATTCAGTGCCTTAGACCAATTTTGCCAGACCACGTGGCTTCTCTTGTTGGGTGCGGTGATACTGTGGGATAATGGGATTATAATCAAGTCATGTCAATGCCACTTGAGTGTCTGCCAATGTAGCTATAGTTTTTGCTAGGCATCAGTTGGGCATTTCAGAAAACAAGAAAATTAACCTTTTCCTTTTCCGATGTCCTTTAATATATACTATTTCCAGGCAAGTGAGGCACACATGTTCTAAGTTTGTTTGCTCCCCATATCCTCTCCCCATGAAGTATTTCATCCATTTTTTAATAGCTTTCAACGATCCAATATTGGATCTTAGGTTGCATTTTTCCAAAGTTCCAGGGCTATGCTCTTAAAATAACTCAGACTTTCTCCATTTGAATGATCTTGCTATAAATCCTCTTAACCTGCATGACATCTATCCCCATCACAATAAACAGGACATTGAACAGAGAGGAGCCTGACATTGGTCTTCCCTGACAGTATCAGGTACTGTCGAGGGACCACTTCCACCTGGTTTCTCTTGTTGGCTTCCATACTGGTGGACTGAAAGGACTGAGCCTGATCTGGCATGTCCAAGAAGGCTTCTAGTTCATAGACCCACCAGTGCGATACATATCTCTAATAACCTTTTAATATTTTGCTGGTTACCAAGTGTAAACCTTGTATGGTATCTAATTCATTTAAAAGGCTTTCTAAATAAGAATGGCAACTCTCTTTCACCTCTTTTCATTTCTTTGCTGCATATGAATTGCATGATTTCATCAATGTAGAAGAAACAAAGGCGTGGTCTAAAAACAAAAACCCATAAAACAACTCTAAGAACCTGGAACTGATGCCAACAGGAAGTCAACTTTAAAAACTGATTCTCCCACCCACCCCAACTCTTCAAGGTGAGGGCATGAGGGCTAAGGGCCAGGGAAGAACCTTCCACAAGGAGGCATTGCTGTATCTTAAAGACCAATAGACAGAGGGGTTCCTCCCACACAGCATTTATTGAATGAATGTCCCCACAGGGAGTGAGGGAGGGGTGGGGAGGACCTCTCAAAGCCTGCCCATCATTGCTGTGGACCACTGTGTGTCACATGTCTCCATTCTTCCAGATACAGAATGAGAATTTGTATGGCAATCCACTGTTCAATAGGAGCCCTGGCAACATAGTGGTTATGAGTTGGGCTCGTTGTAACCCCTTGGTCAGCAGTTCAAAATCATCAGCCACAGAGCAACGAAGTCCCCAGGGAATACCAAAAATAGACTTTGGGGACAGGGCTTGGCACCCCATCAGACTCGACTGGAAAATACTCCTAAAGGCCAACAAACAGTCCTTGAATTAACTACAAGCTTTTCTTTCTTGTTGTGTTTAGTTTTGTTTTTTTGTCATTGGCTTGTTGGTGTTGTTGTTGTGGTTGTTTGTTTTATTTTGTTGCTTTATTTTGCTCTGTCTTGTTTTTGTTCATGTTATTATCTCCGCAGGCCTGTCTAAATAAAATAAGCTGGATGAACAATCTGGAGGAGAAAACAACGGGACCAACAGTTCCAGGGGGGACATGGGAGAGGAGAGG